TTATTCTAGATAAGATACACAAAATAAAAGACTATTTCTAATGTAGGACTACAAAAAAAAGTGGGGATTTTGGGTCCTGTGAGTCTTTTATTCAACTTGCTAAATGGGTATTTATTGTTGTCATGACAAAGAAGAAGCTGGTGCTCTCTTCTCCGTGAGCGGAGTATATTTTTAAGTGAAGTAATGCTACATTTTGTGCTGGTTTGGTTGTGTTGCAGAGTTGCGGACTTGTCATCCCAGTTACTTCCAGTGTGGCAGTGGACACTGCATTGCTGAACGCTTCAAATGTGAAGGCAATGCCGACTGCCTGGATTACACAGATGAGACCTCTTGTCGTAAGTGTCCCTCATTGGGTATTTTTTTCAGGGCTGTTTTGTGATAATTATTGTCTCCATCACAAAAAAAATTTCAAAGTGATACTTCCCCCACAAAATGACCATATTTATATCATATGACTCACCCTGTGTTACGTTAAATTTGGAAAGGAACTTCTTGCATGCCTCCACAGTGAACAAAGAATCCAAAAACATTCTAAACTATATAAAATTTTCTCCGTTTTTGGATTTTTCGTCCTCGTGGAGGCATGTGAGACAAACAAAATTTTCTCCATGCATTAAACGTAACACTGGGTGAATAACTGATGTAGGAAATGGTCATTTTGTGGGTGAGGTATTTAATATATGTTAAAATAGCATACACATGTTCTTTTTGTCACTGACTTTCAGCGCCCCGCTTTCCCAACGGCACATAATGCCCACCCTTCCTTTTTGAGTGCAAGAACCACGTGTGCGTCCAGCCTCATTGGAAATGTGATGGAGACAATGACTGTGGAGATAATTCAGACGAGGAGCTTCACCTCTGCTGTAAGGACTAACATAAACACTCACAAGTCCAGCACAGGCAACACCAAAGCTTATTAGATTCGTGCCATGAATCTGGCAAATGTAATATTGGATCTCAATTTGTAGGCCAATGTGTTGAACTGATCTTTCTGTGAGGTTTTCTTGAGACTCTTTGTTCATCCACAGTGGAAATCCAGTGTGAGACTCCATTCCGTTTCCGCTGTGACAACAACCGCTGCATCTACAGCCACGAGCTGTGTAACTCTGTTGATGACTGTGGTGACGGCTCTGATGAGAGACAGGAAAACTGTGAGTATGATGGTTTGTGGCTGAAGGTCTCATTTATCTGCTCAGTCTTGTGTCATATTCTGTTTTTCTTCTTTCAACATGCGTCGATACGTTTCTCTCCATTTAGGCCAAAGTCCCACTCATGGACCCTGTACAGATAATGAATACAAATGCAGTAATGGACAATGCATCCCTCTGCAGTACGCCTGTGATGATTATGACGATTGTGGAGACCAGTCGGATGAGCTTGGTTGCCGTGAGTACATTAGCAAAGAGCTTCTTAGTAATAATGATGATGAATTGAAAAACTTGTAGGTGTACTAAAATTTATAGTTAAATAAAATAACTAGTGTTTTAAAACTACTGTTTTAGTTAGAAATGTTTTGAATTTTGGAGACAAGATGCCATTACAGTGCATGACAGCATTCTGACATGTCCGGAAAAAAGTTGAAGTTAATTCAGCTGAGTTTGTCAGACTAGTCAGACTATTGTTAGTAAGTTAAGAATGGCATTTCTTACTGTGGATTGATTCGGTACCACCACGGATGGATTACTGAACGGGCCTACTGGGCACAGGCCCCCAAAATGAAGGGTTATGAATCCATCGTTAAAAAGGGAACATCGTACATACTGTAGGTACTATGCAGTTAGTATCAAGTCTTACATCCAGTGTTTTGTATATTTGTTCTTGTCAGACCATGGCAGTGGGCACATATGCAGTGACAACATCTGTGAACACAACTGTACCGACCTGACGCAGGGAGGCATCCTCTGTTCATGCAGGCCTGGCTACAAGCCCAGAACCACAGAGAAACACACCTGTGAAGGTAAAGTAACATCAGATAATCAGTCATGAACTTAATCCATTTAAACACTGATACAGAGGTAGTTTTTACATTCAGTTCATGTTTTTCCTCATTTTATACATGTCTTCTGCCTTTGGAAACAGATGTGAATGAGTGTGAGGTGTACGGCACATGTCCTCAGGAGTGTAAGAACACAAAGGGCAGCTATGAGTGTTTTTGTGCTGAAGGCTTTCACTCGTTTGGTGAGCCGCATGGGACGGAGTGTGCTGCTCAGGGTAGGAGCTCAGCATTCACACATAGATGAAAAATCTTAACAAATGTTACCTTTTATTTTTGACATTGCAAATTACACTCATCACATCTCAATTTTTGTATAGGAAACCCACCAGTGCTGCTGTTGCCGGACAACGTTCGCATCCGTCGTTTCAACCTGTCCTCTGAGCAGTATTCAGACTATGTGGACAACGCTGAGCACATCCAAGCCTTGGACTACCTGTGGGATCCAGAGGGAGACGGACTCAGTAAGGCCGCTACTGTAAACCTTTTAATGCTGTTGTTTTCAGCTGCATTGAATATAAAAGTTTGGATAACCTTTATCCCCTGATGTGCTGTAGGTGTTGTGTACTGGACAGTTCTGGGTCGGGGATCTCAGTTCGGCTCCATCAAACGTGCATACATGACCACATTTAATGACCACGGCAACAACCCAGTGAAAGAGGTGGATCTGAACCTGAGATACATTGCTAAACCTGACGGCATCGCTGTGGACTGGGTTGGCGGGTAATTCACCAACATTATCACTTAAAGGGATAGTTGCAGAAGTTGCTCTAAATTTTGTTCTGTTACTCAGTTTGTATTTACCACCCTCTACAGGCACATTTACTGGACAGATTCAGGTACCAATCGAATTGAAGTGGCCAAACTAGATGGGCGGTACAGGAAGTGGTTGATCCACACAGACCTGGACCAGCCTGCAGCTATTGTTGTCAATCCATCACTCGGGTAAGAGGCTGTAGAGCTTTAGTGTAAAAAATGCGCTGTTAAATTCCTGTGCACAGTATGAAGAGGCTTTGTATCCAGATAAAAATGCAATGTTTTGTTTGCTGTGATTATTTCTGTGTTGGCAGAATGATGTACTGGACCGACTGGGGCAGGAAACCCAGAATAGAATCAGCGTGGATGGACGGTCAGCACAGAGAGGTGCTGGTGAGGGAGGAGGACCTGGGCTGGCCCACTGGGCTGGCTCTGGACTATGTGAATGGAAACAGGATCTACTGGTGTGACTCCAAAGAAAACATCATTGAGTCCATGAAGCCTGACGGCACAGACAGGAATATCGTCATATCAGGAGGTCAGAATACTGAGATGTGGGACAGCCAGTCTGCAGAAACACACTCAGATATTAAGTTTTATGGGCGGCACTGATATGTCAGAGTGTTTCATTCAAATAATGGCGTAGGGGATTAAAGTATTGAGTTTTCTCTGTTTCAGACATTGGCCATCCCTACAGCCTGGATGTGTTTGAGGGGCACGTATACTGGACAACTAAAGACAAAGGTGAAGTGTGGAAGACGAACAAGTTTGGGAGAGGACATAAAGTCAAAGTTCTAACCATAAACCCATGGCTGACTCAAGTCCGCATTTACCAGGAGCAACGACACAACAAGTCAGGTCAGAACACAGAGCGATTCAAATCATGCTTTGTATGTCATGTCTAAGGTATCACATGAACTGTGTTGGAGTAGTGCTGATACACTGAAGACTGTGTATGTAACACAAACATTTTTAGAATGGATCTGAGAACTTTATGTGGAAAATTTTGCCAGAAATTGCACTTTATGTAATCTCAGGCAACATAAAATATATGTACCATTCCAAACAAAAGGTACAGTAGAGAAAAGAGGAAAGCAATCAGCAGTTATGTTCTGTATCCTACTGTATTTTTATGTTTGTTTAATAAGGAAAGATCATCGAAATTAACTGTTTCCATGTGTGTCCTGGCCAAGAAAGGCAGCATTAACAAATAGTTACAGTCAAACAACATAAGATAGGTAATACACAATATGCCACAAAATCAGAAGCAAACAGGTCTGATCTGTTCTATAGGAGTAGTTGTTGATATCCCTTAAATTGCACATCTTACACTCAGTAAGGTGAACTGGTAAATGGATGGACCTGCATTTATATGGTCCCCTCCAGTCCCCCAAATGTGCCACATTCAGCCATTCACACACACAGATGGCAGAGGTCGCCACGCAAGGCACCAGTCCACCCATCAGGATCTACCCTGACAAGCGAGCCTGGAGGAACTGGGGACCGAACATGCCCATCCTCTGATTAGCAGATGACCCTATCTTCCTCCACAGCTACCAGTCAAGAGAGCAATGGCATCATTTGGGTTATCAAGCGGGTGCCCTTATTCCTTGGTGTTTCACTGTTAGGCCAACAATACCTCCAGAAGGTTAAGCAGTGATTTCCAAAGCCCAGGGCTCACTCTTTTGGGCCCAAGTGCAGTCCTTTATCCTCATCCAGAGCCACTGACTGCCCTTTTCAGCAGCTCTGGATACTGTAGATCTTTGACCACATGCCAGTGGACTCTGCCTCAGCCTCCCATTTCCTGGAGTAGCCTTGACATTGATGTGGCTATAAACCCTCCCAGCTGGATGCACCTTTGCTTTCAAGCCAAGTTGCTGAGCATCAGCGTAAAGTTCAGCGTACCTGTTTTTTGTGCTCAAAGGCCTCCTTCAATGCATCCTCCTTGGCACTGTAAGCTTGATGATGTAAATGAGATTAAATGAGGCTGACCATAGCAAAATGGCTGGTCTGAGCCTTTGGCCTAATTCTGCCGCCATCTTCCAGACATGTGCTTTGATCAACTGTACAGTATCTGGCCTTGATCTAACCCTCACCTTCCCAGACAAATGCTGTGTTCAGGAGGTGGGACGAAAGGGGATGAAGGGTGTTTGTCTGTAGACTTTCCAGCAAAATTTCTGCTCTGAACAGCACCTAACAGTGTTACTCTTTCTTCTGCAGTACCCAACCCTTGTAAGAATGTGTGCAGTCACCTCTGTCTCCTGCGGCCTGGTGGATACACCTGTGCCTGCCCTCAAGGGTCCACTCCAGTGCAGTTTGACTCCAATGAATGTGATGCAGGTAAACGCGGGCCAGAGTGCATTTACTGCCTGCAGTCTTTTGTTTGCTGTCATGTTGCATCTCATTCTGCATTTCCAAATCCATTCACATGTGCCTGGCTGCTTCTGTGTGGTTTTGTGGAACTGTGATGTGACTGTTTAATTGTTGTTGATTCTGTGTATGCCTGGCTTTTGCTCCTGCAGCCATTGAGGCACCCGTTGCAATGCCCCTTGCATGTAGATGCATGAATGGTGGAACCTGCTACACTGATGAAGCCGGTCTGCCCAAGTGCAAGTGAGTTTAGTTCACACCAGTGATTGATTGTCCACCAGCCGTAACCAGTGTTATTCCACTTCAGGAAGTCTTTTTCCCATGTATTAATTTATCGTGACTCTCTGCAGATGTCCGTACGGTTATGTGGGCAGCTATTGTGAGATGGGGAAGTCAAGGGGCGCTCCAGCAGGAACAGGTACAGTAATTCACCCGTTATCTTAGCTACACTTTATCTCTCCTATGACTTGACAGCCAAACAAATTCTTCCAACCAAAACCTGTGGGAGTCCTTCACACATGCACTGGTTGACATTAAGGGGAGCTGCTGCACATCAACAGTCATGGTGTGTTGGCTCTGCTGGAACCAAACGTGATGAAGTCACACTTCATGCTTATCTACCTAAATGCTGCTAAGGCCAACAGAAGAATCTGGCTCAGCAGTTGCTGAAGCTGACGACTTGCCAATATCACACATTTTCTTAATAAATAGCCATGGAATGCTTCACATGATCACTGTTTAACTCTCTAATGGTTTAGCAAACAAAAGGGGCATCCAAAAGGCATGAACAATAACTGACCAGTCAGCAAAATGTTAAGACAGGAGGAACCTTCATGATCAGCACCTTACTGCAAACATGCACACAGCTAAATATTTTCTTCCTCTTTTCTGTAGCTGTGGCTGTTCTACTGGCAGTCATTATCATCCTGATCACTGGAGCTTTGGCTGTCGGGGTTTTCCTCAACTACAAACGAACAGGATCTTTCATCCCATCCATGCCCAAACTACCCAGGTATGTTGGCTCTTGTTTTTTAATCTCTCTTATTGTCTTGTGCTCATAGTGCTGAAGTCGATGCTGACAAAATTTAGATCAAAGTTCAGATTGAAGTGTTTTGTTTTTGTGCAGCCTCAGCAGCCTGGTGAAGTCCGCTGACACAGGGAATGGGGTGACGTTTCGCTCCGGTGATAATGTTGACCTTGGACCGTCACACATTGGCGTGTCATTCATTGACACAGCCATGCAGATGGTGAGTCGTGGAAGGATAGTTATTAGCAGTTAATATTTTCTCTAAATCACTAAAGTGTACTATCAGCACTTTCCACTCACAAACAAGTGGTCTGTGTGGTCTTTACTGACAACTTTGACTTCAGCATTCCTTTTAGAACTGCTTGTGTCAGCAGCAGCTGAGGAACAAACAACAGTGTGTCTTCAATATAAAGAAATCTTATCATTATAATATTTTAATATCCCCATAGGATGATAATTTTGCGATGGACGCTGGGAGGCAGCCAATCACGTTTGAGAACCCGTTATATGCCACAGTTCCTGGAGTGTCCGGAGATCCTGCTGTCATTCATGCCACACAGGTACTCATTAAAGAATACATTTCATATCATAAATAATCAGTTAAATGGTACACTCCAAATGAAGTTATTTGACACTCATTAAAGCTGGGGGGGCAGTTTATTTTGGGGACACTGGGCAAAAATCCCATAATAAACTTGGGCATTTTGTCATTCAAGTAGACCACGAAAAAACTAGACTTCTGTACTTTTTTTTTTGTTGTTGTTGTTGTTTTTTTTGTTTTGGTTTCATGACAGGAGACTTTGGCCAATCAAGGTCAGAGAGAGTGTTCCTATTGGCTGTTCTACAAATGCAGATAAGCATGCACATCCCTTCAGATTGTGAAAGCCTGATTCAGTTGCGGAGAAGTTAGCAGAAAAATTTGGTAAAACAGCATTGGCAATGTATAAGATAAGAGTTCCAGCAGTTGACATTCATGTTCTAAATTAAAACAAAGCATTACTGCAAACACTAACTCCAAATGGTTCAGTGGTTTTCATCATCTTCTACCAGAAAGTAATCTTTAGTTTTATATAAACCAAAATCATGATATAAAGGAATGCCTACACCAAAATGCATCTAATTTGGTATTTTATTTTACTGTATCACACTAAAGTGGTTTGACTGTTTGTGAGCAGGACATCTCAGAATGTTAATGACACAAATTTAGGACCATTGTGTAGGATTTAGTGGCATCTAGTGGTGATGATGCAGAATGCAACCAACTGAATATCCCTGCTCTCACCCCACCCTGTGGGATTTCTGCTAAGGCTGACCAAGTGGGGGCTTTGCATAATGCTAAGGGTATGTTTGTAGCCATGATCAAGATATTCATTATACAGCTGTACAGTGAGTGATTGGTATAATGTTTGTGGACATGTTTGCTGGCCAGGAGAGTCTCTTGGAAATGTTATTAGTGAAGCCAATTATTAAATCAGTGGTCATATGTGATTAACCTGACATGACACAACCCACTTCTTAACAGGTGACTGTTAATGTGAGTGGTGATCAGTTGGAGAACAAGTTTGTGAACCCGGCGTACCGCGGAGATCAGAGTGCAGGCATTGTGAACACAACTTCTGTCAGCACCAAACCTGTGCAGGTGAGTCTCTTGTAGTATATTACTATATTAAGATAAGATAAGCCTTTATTGGTCCCACAGCGGGAAATTAGCTGTGTTACATCAGCGAAAGGGTACAGTGCAAAAACAAGAAGCATGAGTATAAATAACATAAAGATAGAACAAATAAGTACACAGTAAAAAAAGCCACAAAAAAAGTAAACTTCATGAGCTACAGTCATATTTTTAAGTATGATTCCACCTCACTGTTTGTGTTTGTCTGCAGGAGTCAAAGTGGAGCTTATTCAAGCGAAAATTAAAGCCAAGCACCACATTTGACAACCCTTCGTATTCAGAGGTAAGTTTGGACATTGTAGTCACAATAAAAACATTTAAAGACACGAGACAGAAAGTACAGGTGTTGTTTCAGGCTCGTTTACCCTCTGCACTGTTTCACAGATGAAGGATGAAAAGCCTGTGGGAAGCAGCGGGGACTCTTCTGCCCCTGAGCCCTCTCCGTTTGTCCCCCCCGCCAAACCTCCGAAGAGGGATCGTCCAAGCACCTTTTCGCCAACCGAGGACAGTTTCAAAGACACAGCCAACCTCGTAAAAGAGGACAGCGACGTATAACCCCTCTCTCGCAGATGGGAATCGAAATAAAAAGAAACACACTTTGCACAGAATTTATTTTTTTATGCAGCCTGTGAACAAAAACTCAAATTGTTTTAGGAAAGAGAAATACATTTCTATAGAATGAAGAAAAACGTCTTTTGTGACTATGCCTTCTGACATTTCTTATGCCAATTCTTGTGTTAATGTTTTCTTTATTCTGATGTACAATATGTATATCTTTTGCACTGAAGCTGCTGATAGAAGTGTTTATAAATAAGTTGTATATTTGTAAATTTGAACAGTAAGATTTTGTCAGAAAATATCTTTGAAATAGATCCTATGAATAGTTCAATATAAACACAATAACATAAAAAGTGAGCTGCATTCTGAATGTACAGTACTTATATGATCGAAGGTTATTAAAAAATGTGTTGAGTAATTTTTTTTTTTTTTTTTTTTTTTGCCACTGAACAAAACTGAAGATGTATTTACTTCATCTTTCATGTTTATATACCTCATTTCAGGGCTGGAAGCTGAACAAAACTATCACAGAAAATTGGACCTTAACTTATACCATTCAATTCTTCAAAAATTCTCCAGTATGCATGAGCTAAAATATGTATGCAAAGCATACTCACTGTACTCAATCAAACTCATTATGTTCCCTGACTTTATGACTCTGAATCAACATGATCTTTTTTTTTTTTTGTAATGATATTGGAACAATGGCCAAAATTGTTTGGAGCAATACTTGAATGTTTGTTTTGCATGGAAATGAATTTATGTAGCTGATTATCTTAAAGAGCAACACAGGGCCTGAGGATGCAGATGTCGTTTTATAAACACAGTGAATAAATTCTTAACTTTACAGAATGATTTATTTTGTATCATAATGAGGACAAATAAAAATTGTATCTGTGATCATCCACAACATGTCCATATCGTTTAAATTGCTGCTGCTGAGATGTGAATGAATAAATTTCCTATTTTGTAACAGTCTTGACATTTTCTAATCTTATTGACTAGGTATGGAATTCGCTTTTAGTACTTTCCAGGTCTGTATAGAGTATGGAAAAATATTTGTGTTTTTATACAGATACTGTTATTAACCCTATTCTGTTTTCTAAAATATGAAATTCTGAATTAGCTTGAATTGATCATACAAGCAGAGCGTTTTCATGGTGTTTCCACCAAGCAGTCACTCTATAATGGCAGTGGTTTGAGATTTCTATGTTGAAAAAAAAGTTATTGAATATTAAAATGGGTCGTATTGCACTTTTAGGACAATCCCCAACTACGTCTCTAGTCATAGGTGCATTGGACAGGCATTCAGTTAGCCGTACTCTCAAATGATTGTCATTTTTGATTATTTCAAGTTGACTAAAAACTGTGAAATAATTATTAAATAAATAAGTAATTTTAAAAAATGTAGCATGCAGTTATGAATGAGCTATTTCCTTATTTCAGTCAGGAACACTTTAGTCAAAGAAAGAAAAAATTATTTCCATTTGCAGTATTATATTTGGTGGTATGGCTCTGTTCTGGGGCCTCTCTACCTTTCCATGTGCCTACATGGAAAGCCTAGAGCTGAGAGAGCAAACCTCTCTGCCCTTCCATGTGCATATGAGGAAAGCCTAAGGCATGGAGAGCAGCAGCAAAGACCCCCAGGAACAGAACAGAGTAACGTCACTGACAAACAGAAATGACATTGATAAGTCAGACGCAGCATGAAAAGGAGGAGCTGGGGTAGAGGTGGGTTGCAAAGCGGCTTGCAGAGGAAGCAGCAACCGTAGGCAGGCCAGACAGAGAAGTCAAGAAAGATTTGGAATTTTGAAATAAAACAATGTGTAGGAACCCAGATTGTCACAATATATTTTATTTTAACAATTTCTCTGTTTAGTTTAGTGGACATTTCTTTTATCCTTAGGTGGAGGAAGAAACATAGTGTTTGCAAAGTCTGACACAAATGTAGGGAGGTACGACAAAGGAATCCATAATAATTTGGCATCCCAGCCTGCACTGTAACGTGTGCGTGGGAAGACAGCTGTCAGTGCGTGCTCCATACACCTGGTCACCTTGGAGAGATCTGAGCTGCACAGGATGCCCAAGGAGAAGTCCTGAGCTTTCACATCTGACAGGAAGAACAGAGCAGAGGAGTCATTCAAAATATTTATATATGACACTAGTGCTGAGTGTGATCAACTGTACTTCCACTCACATTCACCAAAGTATGTGTCTCCATAGGAGTCTTTGACATCTTGAGGGAGGCGGGTCCACAGTCTCCTCAGGTCAGCTTCAATAATATCTGGCCTGGTAACAGCCGTCTTGAAGAAACCAGGCTCGATAATGCTTACTTTGACGCCAAAGGGCTGCATGTCCCTCCTGGGCACAAGAAGCAGGACATTGCCTTTCATTAATGCAGCTGAAAAGCTTCTTATTGTGTACTTTTAAATTCTTCTGTGTTCGTACTTTAAAAAAGTTTGCAGATAATTGATAATTGTTGGCCTTTTGCAACTGAATGCTGTGGTGGAAAGTCAGGAAATACATTTACTCTAGCTCTGTGCTGACATACAATTTCAAGGTAAGTGAACTTGACTTACTCGTCATAGTTACTTTTCTAAATGAACTCTGCCTGTATGGCACAGGGAATAAAAGAGTCCTTGTGTCATATTTCACAGACAATAAAGACTACTTTGAGTGAGTGTGTAGACTCTTGAACATTGTCGGCAGTTAAATATTAAATGTGTGACTCACAGTTATGCTTCAGCTAAATAACAGAGCTTGTGACCCAGATCTAATAAGCTATCTGCTCTGTCTGATATGTTGCAAAATCTTTTCTTTGACTTGCAAATCACCCTCTGTTTCAAGGACGCAGGTTTTGTTTCAACACTTGGAGGGGACACATATGGAAGTGGGGGGGTTGGGGTCCTCCGTCATAAAAGTTTTGAGCATTAAACACTTAATTTCCAGCATTCTGGTATCATCTTAAGAGAATGTGTGATAATTCAGCTTCAGTTGTGTTTCCACTACCTGAGGCTGTCGGAGAAGGCTTCCACTCCAAATTTGGACGGGCAGTATCCTCCACCAACGAAAGACAGTCTGCCCAGAATACTGGCCACATTAACCACCCTGCCCTGGCCCTTTTTCAGAAGAGGCAGAAACTGGATCGTCACATCAATGAGGCCGATCAGATTCACATCCAGAACCTTTGTGAAATCCTCTAACTGCATCCATTCTATTGGGCCGATGGGTATGGACCTGCCGGCATTGTTCACCAGACCCCACAGACCTGCAGAGAGAGGAGGAAGATATCAACTTCTGATCTTTATTTCTCTTTTGTTGATGTGAGAGAATGTTTTTCATTTATCACAAATGTGTCCCTGACTTTAAAAAATGCAGACTATATGAGGTAAGTATTTCCTCCCTCCTCTTTAAAATCAGAGGGCATGTTAAACATATCAGTAGGAGGATGATGAGTTGATGATGGGATGGTCCAGGTTGCCTTTATCCCTCCCAGTGCCTCACTCTGACTGGCACCCTATCAGTGTGTACCCCCTGCTGCTGTCCGCCCGGCTCACCTCCATCTCCGACCTCTTTGCTCACAAACTCCACCGCCCTCCTGATGCTCCCACTGTCTGTAACATCCAGCAGGAGAGTCTTCAGTCTGGGGGAGGCTGCTGCTGCCAAATCTGCTGCACCTTTCTCTGTGAGACATGCAGCTATGACGCGGAAGCATTTTTTATCCAGCTGCCTGGCTACCAGATTCCCAAAGCCGCTGTCACAACCTGTGATGAACACATGCTTCCGGGAGAAGCCATCAACCTTGTAGGAATCTCTGATGTAGCGGCGGATGACAGCGAGAGCGGCCAAGACGAAGGCACAGGTTAAGGCCAGGTGTGACAGGATTACCTGAAACACACAGTCCACAGATCAGGCTTCTTGTTTCTTATAAATATTCTACTCACATTTTCTGATTAAGGTAAATAAAAATGGTGAAAGTAGAAGTGAATGTTAATGTGAATCACGAAAACAATGAGAAATCTACTTACCTCTAATAAACATGTCGTCAGACTGTCAGTTGACACCTGAGTGGAGAAGCATGGAAGATTATTGTCCATCTATTTGGCTATAACATGATCTATATTTACATTAGACAATAACCTTTAGGTCCACTTTATCCCCCTCTCTCACTTTTTTTTTTACTTCTTCTGTCTCCTTATATTTAAGTTTCCTATCTTTTTCTCACTGGTATCATTACTTTGGGCTGACCCCACACCTTTATGAGGGAGCTAGTCCACTGTACGTCATCCCCAGCATCTCATACTGGGCTGCCCCAGATCGTCTGAGACAGAGCCACCCCATCATGTTGTATTGTTTTTATTATAATGGAAAAGTACATCAAATTAAACAGTAACTTGAACTCACACCCCTTCACATAATCTGCATTCAGGCTCAAAGGTCAAACTGTGCATGGTGCATATTCCTAAGTGTGTGTTTAACACCAGGTCATTTTATCTCTGATGCCCCCTAGTGGGGTTATCTGGACATGGCAATAATGCACCTGCAGACGAGACATGGTACTTCCAATGTTTGAACTCAAAGCAGGGTTGGTATTTCAATTTGTATATAATTAGGCACTTTTAAATACATTACATCAACTATTTAATTGTAAATCTTTTATACAATAGCACATGTAAACTAATAATAATGATGGTAACATATGATGCTGCAAAAAATGGAATTAAATATAAATTAAATAGGCTTGGCTGTACCTATTTAAGAGAAAAACTGAATTCACTTAAATAACAAAGGACTGGTATTTATCCATGTGCACAGGCCTGGAGTGATTGTAAGTACATTTTTTCAAGTACTGCCCTTCAGTACAATTTTGAGGTACTTGTACTCTGCTTGAGTACTCACATTTTGTAATACTTACAATCTCTACATGTCAGATTTTAGAGGGAAATCTTTTACTCTGCTAGCCTACATTTATCTGACAGCTTTGATAACCAGGTCCTTTTCAGATTATAAATTTACATACAAAACAAAGATCAATTTTTTTTTTTTTTTTTTTTTTAAAAAGAAGCTCCTCCTCAACCAGCAGTAAAATCCTGCTAATAATATGCATTAATAGTACTTTTACTTTTGATGCTTTAGGTGCATTTTCTGAGGCATTTTGCATTTTAGTGTTGCAACTTTTACTTACGTGAATGACCTGAATGCTGTGCTTTACTAACACATAATGAGATGAAGTAAATTTTGTTTGTGATTCTTTGCATGCCACAAACAAAACCCCATTTACCTCCATTGTGCTGTTTGTGCAGTAGAGATCAGATAAACCAAACTTATCTGCATTGCTTAACACCTCATGAGGAAAGAGGGAAAAGTTTTTTGCAGTTTTGGTGAACTGTTCCTTTAATGTCACAAATGTCAGTCACCCACCAGATGACATCAGATCTCACTGAGCTGGCTTGTGTAAAAATAAATGATTCAATTAGTCAACTCCTGTCAATGTCTGTTCCTTAATTTTGAGTCAAATAAATCAAAAGAATAAAGTTAATAGGCAGATTGGATGTTCTGTAAAATGTAAAACAATAATGCAAACATACCATGGCTACTTCAGATGATGACCTGTCGTTCTCATCAGAGAATTTTCTCAGTCAGCACTGTGGGCTTCAGCTGGAAGTTGTGTCAGGGTGTGATGATGATTGTTTTCAGTGTGCGCAGAGTGTCAAGGTCCATCAGGGATATAACAGCAGGGTTAAATGTTTCACCGACATGGGGATTGTGTAACAGACAACATCAGATTACATGAGCTCTTGCTTTGATGAATACATTCCCCTTTTACCTCAAATCCACTCTGAGAACACACCACAGCCCAAAGGTTACAGACGGTCCTCTGTATTTGATATAAAGGGGAGATCAATGAAATCAGTGTCAATAATCTGCAGAGTGAGTTTACACAGAGGCCAAAGTCCACCAGGAACAAAAGCTTTACAAGTTGACTGAGTTGTGACAACAACTTGAAGATCATTATATGATTTAAGAAGCAAAAGCCCCCTTAAGGAATGTGTTTAGATTAGATCTCATATGATAATGTCTAAAGACAGTGACATAATGAAGAGCCAAACATGTTTTATAATACAGAAAATGTTTACATGATGCTTTCACTGGTGTAATCCTTGCAGTAAAAATAAAAGACACATAAGCAATCTTCAAGTTAGCTCAAATTCAGATACTTCAAATTTAGGGTTACAGAAAAATCTATCCAAGATGCAGGTCGGCATGTATGACAAAGGCTACCAGAAGAACTTTGTATCCCAGAGAGGGCATGCTCCATGCAGCTGACCACCCTCTTAAGGTCACTGTCGGTCAACATCCTAAACCTCTGATCCAAAATTTCAAGAGCTGAAAGGGAAGCATTTCACACATGTGAACATTGATATCTATGTCTATTAGCTCCTAATAATTACCAAGAGTGAAAGACGAGTATTCTGGGGGGTTCAGTTGGTACACTACAAAATAAGACATCACTACGAAACACATATCTGAAGCAGCAAAATGCTTTTCATCTACAGGTAACCCTACAATTTAACATACATGAAGAATGTTGTGTCTGTTTTCTCTCAAAGTAAAACCATATTATACACAGTGCTTTACAGGAAACAAAAAATGACTCGTGAGCAAACAAAGGAACAGCATAAAGCATTACCAAAAAATTATATCATCAACAGAACTCCTCACAATGTTCAAAAATGTAATTTTGACTTCAAATTCAGTGACTCATTTAATATAGAACTGAATGTGCATGTTTTTTCTGTGCCACCAGTGGGCACCAGACCCTTAAAGGTGAGAGCAAGAAAACTACTTCAGGTTTATTTCTATCAACTCAAAAGCGGTCTTCAGGGTCAGTCGGTGATGCAAGTTTCAAAGTATCTGTTCTTGCAGCCAATAATGCTGCGTTCAAGAGCAGCCTTCAGAACTGTTGTGCCATTGCCTCTCTGGAATGAGCTGGAAAGGAAATAAACTAGTCCACAGGCTTCTTGCAAAGATCTTTAATAAAAGACCATAAACAAAGGCCTTCTATTTGAAAACGTTCTAATATACTGGCTGCCATTCATTTGAGTGTAGGCCTACCCTTAAAGTTCTGTCAGGATAAGGAAGGCTAAAAGGAGAGCACACCTAAAGAGCACCTGAGCAGACAGACACCATCCCTTTATTTCTAGAGCTGTCTGCTGTAACCCTCCAACACTGCACCTCCAGTTACATCATGCATGTATTATGTTATATCTCTTAACCTTCATTTAATAGCCTTGCTGTGCATTTTAATGCCCATACTACCACACTATTTAGCATGCCAGAAAAAGATTTAGCATGTCCCAATACATACATAGTATGTCTAATACAGTTTGCCAAAAATACCTGGATGTCCTACTACATTCAGTTGTACTTAGCAGTATGCAGGCCAGCAGGCTTTTCTGGCTACCCACAATCCTCTGTGCAGATGACAGCAAGACAGCTCCTTGCCAGCTGCAAAACAGAGTATATTCCCACAGGCTCCGATGTCAAAATGCCCAGCTTTACAGTATAAATAAACATGTTTACAGCCTGGGACAAAAAAGGTTTTGGTCTCTATACATTATTTTAGCATTCATGACAATGAATTCGTTTTTGGGTGATTTTTTTTCCCAACTCACCTATTAACCTTTTAGCAAGGCCCAAAGTTACACATTAAGGGTGGGGCCGCTTGAGTGACAGGCTGCCTGCAAGGTGTGGCAGCACTCTAAGAGTCAAATCCACCCATTGGTCATCCACAACTCCACCCTCTTGTCTAAACATGATCACTTCTGGCTCCAAAAAATCCAAGATGGCAACCACCAAAATGCTGAACTCCAAACACCAGTCCACAAACCAATGGGTGACTTCACGATAGCTATGTCCTTGTGTGCATACTGCATGCAACAATACATATTTTGTAAAGGTAGCTGCAGTACCTGACAAAAGGTATGAGACAAAAGGTATGAATGCAGCCTTGGTTTGTTTTACTGTAATGTCCAGGAGCTCAACTCTCCTCAAGTAGGACTAGATGTGGCTGCAGACATACTATGGTTAGGGTTAGGAGAAGATGTCAGAAAAGAGTGTTGTGCAGTGAAGTGAGAGGTCTGCAAGACTACATCTAGACCCATGGACTCTTCTTGCTGTCCTCTTTTTGATGATGTCAAAAACATGAATGACATGTGATGAGTGACACCTGCTTCTCTTTTACTGTCAACTGTGATCATCTTTGTTAACTGTTATAATATTATAATCTTATGAATGGTTATCTTCGCACAGTGTTATGCAAATTCCTGTCATAATGTTAGCTAACTAGCATACACTCTGTGCATTACCACAGGACTCCAGACCCCCCCAGTGTTAACTCCATGGCTACAGTCTTGGAGCATTTTGGAGCAATCTACAGTATTTTCTGAGGTGTTTAACTTTTTTTCTACGAAAGTGTACTTAAAGTAGTGCTTATGGATTTATTAATCAATATGGTTCTAAAATTTAAAGCATAAAAATTCTCATTATTAATCCTCTGCTTTAAGGTCTCTTAACCACAGTGACATTCACTTACCTTGTTTAAATGTTTTTTAAATTAGTTACATATAATCCCTCTCCCTGGCTGAACCCAAAAATCTAAATACATGCAAATACTCTTATTCAGGTAGTATATTACATGTATAATGTTTAACATAGGTTCTCTAACACTACATGGCCACATTTTACCACCCGGCTCAAGGCTGATAACCAAGAGGGAGGTCACATGGGGTAAAACCTATGGGTAAAACATACCTAAACTAAATTATTTAACCAAATAGCTAACTGCAAACCCAAATCATGAAATGTATAAACTATTTCCTTTCTTAGCATTTAAAGTCCTTCTGATATTTCTTTTGCCAGTTCTTGTGTTAATGCTTTCTTTATTCTAACATATAATAATTAAATCTTTTGTATTGAATCAGACAATATACCATAACATAAACACAAACACAATAATACAAATAAAAAGTGAGCTGCATTCTGAATGTGCAGTACATATATGATCGTAGGTTATCAAAAAAATGTGTTGAATAATGATTTCTTTTGCCACGGGACAAAACTGCACAAGCTAAAATGTATGCAAAGCAAACTCATTGTACTAATTCAACTCATTATGTTCCTTGACTTTATGCCTGTGAATCCACTTGATCATTTTTGCAGTGATTGAGCTCTAGCACAAGAAATTGGCGAGGGCTGTCAAATAACTGTTCTATCAGCTGATCACATTCATCCAATTGTAGCGAAACACCTTCCTTGTTAGGACTTATACTCAAAGTTAGATACACCTAGGGGTGCCCAGTAGCAGGTAGGCAGGTAGAGCAGACATCCCATGTGCAAAGGCAATGTCCTTGCTGTAGCGGCCATGGGCTGGGTTGCAGCTTGTGGCCCCTTGCTGCATGTCACCTCCCTTCTCTCCCTGCCTTACACTCAATACTGGCCTATCTAATAAAGGCAAAAGAGCCATAAAAATAATTGAAAAAACAAAAAAGATACGTCTACAGAGACAGACAAAGTCTTCTGATTGGACTCTGCATTTATTTCGTCCATTTTTGTGCACGACTTGTTATGGATACTTGGATGGAATGGATCGGTATCACCGGAAATTGTGGGAGCAGTCCAGCCTATTTCAAGACATTTTAAAAATGGCGCTACAGAACAAATCACAAACCGCTACCGTCGACAACACTGCCTCCGTTTGTGGTTGTGTGAAACTATAACTTTGCCCTCTAGTGCCACCTATTGGCTGTCTGTATGCCATCATTAAGGACGCACATATCTATTTTTCTACGTAAAGGAAGTATAAATGATCCTTTATGTATCTTCCTGCTGTCTCTTTAAATATGATTATGCTTTTAGTACGTTCATGCTGCTGTCATGCACACCCTTCGCCTCCCCATCGCCGCCTAGCCTTCTAACATTCATCATCTTCATCATTTCAGCAGCCTCGTCAGCCTCATCAGCCTCAGCAGAGTCACCAGTGTCTGGACTACATTGGGGGATTTATCTTGCTGCTGCTCAGGGAAGAAGCCCCTTGATTACAAAATCTCCCTTATCTGTAATTATTTTTACTTCATCCATGTGTCTCTCTTGATTGAAATGATATTGATACAATGGCTAAAATTGTGTGGAGCAATACTTGAACTAATGACAAACGAAAATTGTATCTGTGATCATCCACAACATGCTCATATGGATTCAACTGACATTTCTTTTATTCTTAGGAAAACTAAGATGCCCAACGACAATAAAGTCTGTCACAAATGAAGGGAAGTAGGACAGAGGAATCCAAATAAACTTGGCATCAAAGCCCGCACTATAACGTGTGCGTGGGAAGCGAGCTGTCAGTGCATGCTCCATACACCTGGTCACCTTGGAGAGATCTGAATTGCTCACGCCCATGGAGAGGCCCTTGGCATTCACATCTGACAGGACGAACAGAGCAGAGGAGTCATTCAGAATATTAATATGACGCTGTTACTGAGTGTGATCAACTGTACTTCCACTCACAGTCATCAAAGAATGTGTCTCCATATGAGTCTTTGGCATCTTGAGGGAGGTGGGTCCACAGTCTCCTCAGGTCAGCTTGAACAGCATCCGGCCTGGAGATATCTGTCTTGAAGAAACCAGGCTCGATAATGCTCACTTTGATGCCAAAATGCTGCATGTCCCTCCTGGGCACAAGAAGCAAAACATTTGATTTTCTTAGTGCATCTGGAGAGCTTTTAATTGAGTATTTTACTTTAAAAGTTGGCTTACAACGTGTAAATATTTAAAAACTTTGCAGATGACCAACTGTCAGTGCAACTTTGACATGAGTATTTCCATTTCATGCTACTTCTGCCCGCTACCTGAGGCTGTCTGAGAAGGCCTCCACTCCAAATTTGGACAGGCAGTATCCTCCACCAATGAGAGCCACTCTGCCCAGAAGACTGGTCATATTAACCACCCTACCCTGGCTCTTTTTCAGCAGGGGCAGAAACTGGAGCGTCACATCAATGAGGCCGATCAGATTCACATCCAGAACCTTAGAGAAATCTTCCAACTGCATCCATTCAGTTCGATCAAAAGGTATCAACCTGCCGGCGTTGTTCACCAGACCCCACAGACCTGCAGAGAAACGAGGCAGGAACATTACCAGCGGATATCAACTTCAGATCCTCATTTTCCATTTGTTGATAAAAGAGAATGTTGATCATTTATTATCTTCACAGACATCAGAAATTCGTATTTCCTGAGGGAATGTCTGACAGTGTATATGAATGACATCAGCTGACAGGAAGTAAACATGGACCCAAGCTGTTGCCTCATAATGTAATTCCAGTGAAACTCTCTATAGACTGAATTACCATGGCATCACACTAACACAAACAATCACTTAAAGGACGAAAATTGGCAATTGATTACAATTGTGGAGACATGTAAAATCAAACTTGTTGATTTCTGTTGTCATTTTCAGCCATAGCTGTAATGTTTAAAGATATATATCGTTAGACATGGTGGTCCGACATACCAGATGTTTCTGCTGTGCTTATTTTATGTCCTGTGTTGCTTCGTTATTATGTTTGATAAATCAAATGTGCCGGCACAAAAGCTAAACAGTGTACTGCTGTAGATGGGGCCACAGCAAAATGTATTTTGGACACCTAAAAAAAAATCAATATCTATGTAAATGTATGCTATATTTGATTTTTTGCGACACTTTACCTTACACACTAACCAATCGAGGCAGCAGTAGACCAGCAACCCTGTGTGTGTTCTGTGTTTGATATACTGTAACGGCCTCAGTTACCCATCAGTGAAAAAAAAACAAAAAACTGTCTGACAGCAAGGTAAAGCAGTGAAAATATTCAAATACTCAAACCCAGCGTGGGGGAGCCCTCTTGTGTGGAGTTTGCATGTTCTCCCCGTGTCAGTGTGACTTTTCTCCGGGTACTCTGGCTTCCTCCCACAGTCCAAAGACATGCAGGATAATTGGTGACTCTTAGTTTGCTGTAGGTGTGAATATGAGTGTGAATGGTTGTCTGCCTGGCTACCTGTCCAGAGTGTACCCCACCTCTCACCCAATGTCAACTGGGATAGGCTGACATTGGGCACTCTGTACATTTTATCCAAACCACTGACTGTCCTACACTAATCTCCAGTTCCTGGTATCTTTGCACAGCACTGAGTACAGTAGATAGAGCCTTACTGTCTCTGTTAACTCAGTTATGTATATAGTTTTATATATAGGCCTGCAAATAATGATCATTTTTATTATGGATTAATCCACTTATCATTTTCCCAATTAACCCATTCATCCCTTTATCTAATGTTAAAAGCAAAAATTGAAATATAAGTGTATAATTTCACAGAACCTAAGGATGACATTTTCATATTTATTTCACCTGTAATTAACATATAATGTTTGTATGCATTTAGATGTGTTTCTATGACACATTTTAATTTGTAGTCGTATATTATTTTTGTGTTTCTTCTTCTAGTCACATACTTGATTAAAAAAAAAGTCTCTAGCTGAAGAGTTGTGTCCTTTTCTATAAAATATGGCTGGTTTTCCCTTGAGGAATTGATGGTGGAATAGTACTTATCTTATCAGTGTTAAAATGCCGAAGTACCACACAGTACTATGGGGAGTAGTATATAGTACATACTGTATAGTGTATGTACAGGCCAGGCATGTCCACTTAGTCCAATGAAGTTTAAAAAGCTTTAGATTTGTGTTTGCAGAAACTTTAATGTGTCCCTGACTTTAAAAAATGCAGACTATATGAGGTAAGTATTTCCTCCCTCCTCTTCAAAATCAGAGGGCATGTTAAACATATCAGTAGGAGGATGATGAGGTGATGATGGGATGGTCCAGGTTGCCTTTATCTCTCCCAGTGCCTCGCTCTGACTGGCACCCTATCAGTGTGTACCCCCTGCTGCTGTCCGCCCGGCTCACCTCGCTCTCTGACCTCTTCGCTCACAAACTCCACCGCCCTCCTGATGTTCACACTGTCTGTAACAGCCAGCAGGAGAGTCTTCAGTCTGGGGGAGGCTGCTGCTGCCAAATCTGTTGCACCTTTCTCTGTGAGACATGCAGCTATGACGTGGAAGCATTTTCCATCCAGCTGCCTGGCCAGCAGATTCCCAAAGCCACTGTCACAACCTGTGATGAACACATGCTTCTGGTTGAAGCCATCAACCTTGCAGGAATCTCTGATGTACCATCGGATGACAGCGAGAGTGGCCAGAAGTGAAGCACAGGTTAAGGCCAGGTGTGACAGGATTACCTGAAACACACATTCCACAGATCAGACTTCAGGCTTCTTGTTTCTCTTAAACATTCGACTCACATTCTCCGATAAAGGTAAATAAAAATGATGACAATAAAAGTGAATATTAACAAGAGAAATCTACTTACCTCTAGTAAATATGTCATCAGATGATCAGTTGACACCTGAGTGGAGAAGCATGGAAGATCAATATCCATCAATTTGGCTACAACATGATCTATATTTACATTATTAGCCAGTAAATTATAAAACAATAATGCAAACATACCATGGCTACAGTTCTTTAGATGAAGATGTGTCTTTCTTATCAGAGAATAACTGGGTGTATGGACAATCCTCTCCCAGTCAACACTGGAGTTGTAAGTCGTGTCAGGGTTTGATCATTGATGATTGCTTTCAGTGTGAGCAGAGTCTCATGGTCCATCAATAATACATCAACAGTTAATGTTTCAACAACTTAGGGTTGTTTGACATGTAATATCTATGTTTAATGTTTTTTTTTAAGTCAGTATTCTTTCTTTCCTATTACTTTCTTTCATTTTTTGGAGCCCTGATTTCCCTCTCTTAAGGGAAAGACAAGACAAGTGTACGTTGGTGCTCCAGCAATATAGGCAATCACTCACTTGGCTCTACTGCGTTTAATAACAAATCCTAGTCCAAGAGCAGACTATACAGTTTCATTTTATTTTATCTTATTTTAGTCTATCTAATTTTATTTTATTCGATTTTGTTTTATATTTTTAATTTAATTTAATTTAATTTATTTTATTTTATTTTATTTTGTTTGTACATAGTTCAGTCTTCCAAATGGATTATTCATTCAATTTAATGTAGTTACGGCTCTAATTACTTAGAAATAACAAAACCAAACTTTGGTAAACACTGGGTAATCAATCCCACTTTTCCCCCATTACGACCCCCCTTGGTGGTCTAATCTATAATATCATGATTTATTAGTTGATTTATATTTTGTAGTGTTCTCTGTATTTGATATTAAAGGGAAATCAACGTCGATAATCTCAAGAACGGGTTTAAACGGAAGAAAAGGAGCCAAAGTCCGTCAGGATCAAAAGCTTTACAAGATGATTCAGTTGTGACGTGTTTAAGATCATCCCACCTGCTCTTAATCAGCCTCCTTAGCCCTTCACTGTTCCCAGAGTTTCTCCCAGCCAGTCAGCTCCCTGCCTGTTCTCCCACTTGGCTCAATCCCAAAGTCCCCACTAAGACCTTAGGCCCTGAGCCCTAAGGGACTGAACTGATGTCACATGGGTACATTCAATCTCAAAACAGTGCCAATAAAGCTCCTTTTAATTCAACTGAACTAAACCCTGTGGTATTAAAAGGCAGTGCACCTGCGTAACACAACATAGTGTCCAATGCTGGGTCTGAATGCAGCCCTGGTAAATGATTGAGTGTGAGAAGCATTTTGCAGTGACATTTCAGGTCACGTTGACATGCTTATCTTACACTTATCTGGCACAGTTGTGGGTTTGGGGACTTTTTAGTTAACGTTTTTTAACTTCCTCACATCCAAAGTACTTTAGAGGTCTGTCCCTGATTTGAACATTAAGAGGAAGATGAGAAGTGTTAATGTGTAACTTTCTATGCCAGGCTGAAAACCAATGTGCCAGTCTGCACTATCTAGTTTTTTTTTTGATAAATGTGCCCAGACTTACCCTGTTAACAATGTGTTTCAATTCCACAATGTTATGATTTGTAGGTAATTCAGAACAGCCCTAAGCCCTCACACACTCTGTGGGAACACGCCTCAAAGTCTGTGAGCGTGGAGCATGGGATTGGGACCCAATCACCTCATTCCTCCAGCTTCACTGCCCTTCTCCCCACCTGACCATTTAGTTTATATTTAAGTCCTGGTTCCAGTTCAGTGTTTGTTGGATCCTTGGTTAAGTTCTGTTTTGATCAGTTTCACCTTTCCTGCACTACATGTAACTGCGAATAAGAGTTATTTCTTCAAGTTCCTGTTGCTTGCAGTCTCCTGCATTTGGGTCCATCTATTCCACTCCTCATGGCAGAAGAATCCAAACAGTCATGGACCCATCAGGGGATCTATGTGCTGTCGAAATGACTGCAGATACACCTCTAGTAGTGAGGACAGAGAGGCAGCCTTATTGGCAAGGCCCCAGTTAAAGAATTTGCTACCTGGGTAGGTAGAGGACTTTCTGAACACTGCTGAATCCCAGTCTACACGTCAACCTGCTGGCTTTGTGCCTGCAGGTTCTCAGCTTGCACCCAGTACTGCCTTGGGCTTGGGAGCCTGCAATCAGCCTGTCCCAATGCGGCTTCACCGTTGCTCTCCTTTTCTGGTGCAGCTTTCCCAATACAATTCCTATACTGGTGCGGAATGCTTGATACCGTCTTTCTTGTCCTGGAGTGGCTTCCCCGACACCTTTCTGTCTTGGTGTGGCTTCCCCTATGCCTTCCTGTCCTGATTCTGCATTCACTGAACCCCATGGCACTAACTGGAGCAGCTGAGGGGACATCCTGATGTCTTGTTGTCACCCTTTGATGGGACTCGCTTTGGAATGCTGCTGTGCTGTGAAATCTCCACAAGGAGGCGTGGTCCCCATGGCTCCTGATGTCTATTTCGATAAGGTCTTATAATCAATAATGCAGGCATGATGGTGTCTGGAGTCAAACACATAATGAAGAGCCAAACGTGATTCATGATAAAGAATATGTTTATATGATGTAACCCGGTAATCCTTCATGTACAAACATTTATTGCAGTAAAAGTAACAGACACACTAGTGATCTTCAAGTTCGCCCAAATTCTTCCTCAAACAACTAATCTGAAAGAAACTACAGTCCAGATATTTTTAGTTTGGGGCTATTTTGACGCAAGAGTCTATCCGCGATGAAGGTCGGCATGTACGTCAATGGCAGCCAGAAAAATTTTGCGTCCCATCCAGCAGAGTAGCGAGTACGAGGATGAACAGCAGAGACGGCGTGCTCCATGCAGTTGACCACCTTCATCAGGTTGCCGTCCGTCAACATCTTAAACCTCTGGTCCAACATGTCAAGAGCTGAAAGAGAAGCATTTCACACATGTGAATGTTTGTATACAGGTCTGTAATCTTTTATTATAATTCATAATAGTTCATAATGATTTCCTAGGAAGTTTTTTTGGAAAGAGCTGTGTCATTTGGCACTAATTATAGGTAAAATGCAGACAAGGTTAAGTTGGTACAAATTACAATCACAATAAACTACAGGTAGGCATTCAATTTAACATTCATTCACAAATGCAAAAATCTGCCCACCGTGCGTATACATGTTTTCTACTCCAACCAGTTTTTAGTGAAATGAAATTATAACTATTACTATTGCTGACAGGCATGCAAGATTCTGGTTTACCTCCAAGCAGGTGTGAAGATGGCATATCTAGCTTTGTTGGAAGATATAACATTTTGTGTCTTCTGTAGAGAGCGCATCAGTGATTGAGATGTTTGTTTGAAGAGAGTGACGATTGGCTTGATTCACAAGCATATGCACAATGGTGAGAACACAATTGGTCGATGTGCATGTCATAAATCCGACAGTAATTTTGAGTGACCATTTATTTTGTGCCCAGCATAAGAACATTTCTACACACATATTAGTGAAGGAGGCCCAATGTGTCTTTTCCTTCAAATTAGTACCAAATTATTCAGTTCTTTCCAGGTAACCTTCAAAATATGACTTAAAATAAATAAGGAAAATAAAGGTACCACAGATAAAGCATTACCTAACATTGTTATCAGTGAAAGAACTCAAGAAAATGTTTAAACATATAGTTTTAGAAATCTGAACCTTTTCAATTTTATCTTTACAGAACAGAACCACAATCTATTATAAACTACTGCAGAGTGTCTGAAAATTCAATGACCTGAATCATGGGTCATTTTTGGAGAGATGGGCGCCATATAACAAAATCATCTCCTCAGAGAATTGTTTTGTCGTACGTTGAGCTATGGCAATAAAAAAAAAGTCTATTATCTATAAAAAAAGGTGGAGTCACTTACATTCTGCCAAGAAATCTTGTCCGTAGTCATCCTTCACATCCTGAGGTAATCTGTCCCAGAGCTTCTTCACGTTGTCTTTCATGATCACTGTATCAGTCACATTTGTTTTGAAGAAGCCTGGCTCAATGCATGCCACCTTGATTCCAAACGGTGCCATGTTCAAACTGAAACACAAAGGAGGTCTGCTGTAAGTCAAGACAACATTTGTGAGAATCAAGGGCTGGATCGTGGTCCCTTAAGGCCCCTCACATTGTAAGCACTGAGGGGTCTGGGGGGGCTCTAGTGATTAGCTCATGCTATAAGCACCCAGGGGCCTAATGGTCAGCTTGAGGGCTCTGGCGTTCAACTTCCCTCAGAGGTCTTGGGCCCCCCTGGCAGTCCGAAGCCCCCGCGCACTGGCCCCACTGGACTGGTCCATAATCAAGCCATGATGTGTATACATGTAAATGTGTTGCGTCTTCTCTCACCGTAGACTGTCGTTGAAGGACTCCACGCCATACTTGGACACACAGTAAGGTCCACCGAACGGGGTGATTCGCCCAAACACGCTGGCGACATTCACCACTCTGCCTCTGGCCATCTTGATGAGAGGGAGGACGCTCAGTGTTACATCGATTACGCCGAACAGATTGACAGCAAGCATGGCCTTGTAGTCGTCTACAATGAGCCAGTCAATGGGGCCAGACGGATGAGCAACTCCTGCATTGTTTACCACGGCCCACAGACCTGGAGCAATACAAGATAATAAACACAGGGAGGCGAGTGTTAATACCCACAGGGCACAACATTTTACACCACCCAGTAGTGGAATCACTGCTCCGGGGTATATGTTATCATTTATGTTAATTCCTAAAACTTTGTGAGAGGATTACTTTGACACTACAGGAAATATGGTTTCTTGCTCTTTCTTGCCAAATTAGATGAGAATAAAAATACATACCACTCTCACATATCTATGTATAAAGCTACAGCTCTTTTGAAAGGTAGCAAAATCCAATATGAAGTCCCTATACCTAGCAAAGAAATAGTCCAGTGTTAAGTTGTCAGCGATTGCCTAAAGCTGTTGGTGGCTGCGCTTCAGTTTTTGCACTGATTTAACACACGAAATATAGTGTGTTAATTAGTTAGCTTTACAGGTACTGGTAGGTA